CCTCCCACCTGCCTATTAGACATTGGGAAAACCAAGTATTGGCCTGGAATGACTGCAGGGACGGAGGAAATAGTATACACTGCATTCCTGCTCCACAGGACTATCTGGAGTGGTCTAAGACAACACCACACCCTTGAGGAGGGCAGTCAGATTTACCTGGCACAAAACGCCTGACCTGAGTCTAAAGGGTTCAGTCCCTTACCGGGAGGAAAGCTGCTGGTCTAGAGGGAGCCTCCAGAATTCAAGCGACGTAGCTAAGCTGGGATGTGCAGTTGTCACTCGCAGGCCCCAGCCCCATGCACCTGTAAAGCCTCAAGTTTTGCAACTTCAGATCCTATTATCTCCAAACTTCCCAACCCCCAGGATGAGCCTTCATGCTGATTCGAAGAATTTGAATAATTTAGGGCTCAGCATTCTAGGGTGTCAGTTTCAGTGGCTCTGTTCCCATGGGCACCGATAGGCCAGCTCTGCAATTAAGCTAATAAAACAGTCAACGGAAGAAGGGCTGCTCTCCTGCGCCTCAGACCCCTTAGTGCTCATAGAGTTCTTGGCCCTGCTCTGCTGAAAGCAGTGGGCTAGCTCAGAGCCCAGGTACAGGGAATAGATGGGGATGGGAGGGCATGTAAAAGGAGAAGAAAAGAGCCTGGAAAGAAAGGAGAATCAAGAGGCAAAGACCAAGACCAATACAGAGGAAGCAGCTAATTGAGACAGAGATAGGTTAAGGGGGGGGATCATTGGTCATATATATGCAAAGGTCAGAAGCGGGCAGAAGCTGACTGAGGCCAGAGAAGCTAAGAACAGCAGAGAAGGAGAAATGACAGATGCCAGGGGCCAGGTATAGAATTCAGGGTAAGTACCTTAATTTCTGATTTCCAGGTACTGTACACATCATCCCTGCCAGCTGGACCGTTGTCCTACATCTGTCCTGAAACCTTGTCCACCATCTGGCTGTGGTAGGGCCATGGGGACAAAGAGCCACCGCCTCAGCCTGGGATTTCTGCTCCTGCTCTTTCTTCCTTCAGGTATGAACCAGCCCTTGTCTGAGACTTGTTCTTGTCAACCCCAAACCCCTACCTATCTCCACCTTCAGTGCCTGCTGAGAACAAGCTATCTGGGTGTTGAAGTGAAAGAAAGAGACCTTCCTGATGAGATGGGGTGATGGTGGTACGCAGTAGCCATGTAAGAAGCTAGGTGTGGCCACAAACACCTAGAACCCCAGTGCCGTAGGGACCTGAGCCAGGAAGATTGCTGAAAAAGGGCCAGTTGAAAGTTCAGTGAGAGACCTGTCTCAAGAGAATAAGGTAGAAAGTCACAGGCAGATATCTAACGCCCTCCTCCGGCTTCTTTACCCATCTGAGCACACATGAATCACACCACCAAAAGCATGTAAGCCCATGGAACCAGGTGATGAAGCCCCAGGTTGGGCGTGGAGGATGCAAACAGAGGCCCCTGAACTACAAAGGTGGACCATCCTTCTCACTCATCCTCCAGAATGCCGGGGAGCTGAGGGGAGACTGGCTCACAAGCTGTTTCGTGACCTGTTTGGCAACTATACAAGTGCCCTGAGACCTGTGGCAGACACAGACCAGACTCTCAATGTGACTCTGGAGGTGACATTGTCTCAGATCATCGATATGGTATGATGTGGCAGTGATACAGATGTGGGGTGCAGATCAAGGGAAGAAGGGTCATCTGCTAGTTATCCTTTCCCTATGCATTAATGTTAGTAACGATAATAACAGCCATCAATTTCTGCGTACGCACTGGAATTTATTGAACTCCCACCTCCCCAAGTAGGACTTATTGGAGTGATTAGCTGATGAAATGGAGACTTGAGGGCCCACCAAGGGCACACAAATTCAAGCCTGGATAGGAACTGGGCTGGTCAAGCAAGCTGCGTTTGTGGGTACTGACCAGAGAGCCTTGTGAGTGTGCATGAAGGAGTCAGTGTGTGTATGCATATCCATTGCCTGTCCCTGCTAGGATGAACGGAACCAGGTGCTGACCTTGTACTTGTGGATCCGGCAGGAGTGGACAGATGCCTACCTGCACTGGGACCCCAAAGACTACGGTGACTTGGATGCAATCCGCATTCCCAGCAGTCTAGTGTGGCGACCAGACATCGTCCTCTACAACAAGTACTGCCCCACTTCTCTTTAGAGTTGCCCATCTGCCCTTGACATGCTCAGAGTTCCCTCCCGACTCCTAATAGAGTTGCTAAGATGCTTGGAAACTTGTGTTGGGGCCCCTCTAAGAAACCCTTCGCCACTCCATGGCACTTTCAGTTGTCTCAGGCCAACTCAAGCTGGATATCTCCTTTATGCCACCTTAGGTGCTTTGCACCTCCCAGCCAACACATAGCTTTGTGCATCTTTCTGGGTCCCCCTAATGAGTTTTACAGATGATTCCCTAGGACAGTGTGAGGCTCAGTTCCACCTCTGGTTTTGCAGAGGCTTTTTCTACTCTGCTCCTGGCCCCTCCCAGCCCCCAGGTGTTGCCTCCTCTAGACTGTCAAAGATTGAGATGAGGCTCACTCCATAGTGCTGCCCTGGTCACTAAAGCCCAACTAGTGACAACAGATCCACTAGTGACAATAGATCCACCTTGCCGGTGGGCCCCAGTGAATCCTGTCCTGCCTGTCTACAGGGCAGACACCCAGCCACCAGCCTCAGCCAGCACCAATGTGGTTGTACGGCATGACGGTGCCGTGCGCTGGGACGCACCAGCCATAACACGCAGCTCGTGCCGTGTGGACGTGTCTGCCTTCCCGTTCGACGCGCAGCGCTGCGGCCTGACCTTCGGCTCATGGACTCACGGTGGGCACCAGCTGGACGTGCGACCCCGAGGCTCGTCTGCCAGTCTGGCTGACTTCGTTGAGAACGTTGAGTGGCGCGTGCTGGGCATGCCGGCGCGCAGGCGTGTGCTCACCTACGGCTGTTGCTCTGAGCCCTATCCGGATGTGACCTTCACGCTGCTGCTGCGCCGCCGCGCTGCCGCCTACGTGTGCAACCTGCTGCTGCCCTGTGTGTTCATTTCCCTGCTGGCACCACTGGCCTTCCACCTGCCCGCTGACTCTGGGGAAAAGGTGTCTCTGGGCGTCACCGTGCTCCTGGCGCTCACCGTATTCCAGCTGATCCTGGCAGAGAGCATGCCGCCCGCAGAGAGCGTGCCGCTCATTGGTGAGCCTGAGAGTATGGGGGAATGGACACTGGGTCAGCAAAGTGACAACTGCAGAGGGTGAGAGGGAGCAAAAGAGTAGACCTGTCTGAGAGAACAGCCCTCACCGTTAGGGGCGCAAAGGCGCCTTGATGGAGGAAGATTTGGTCCCCAGCAGTGAGTGACGCCTGTGTGCCTGGCATTTTCCTATGCCCTTGACGTTTGTTCACTCACAGGAGCATCACTACGAACCTCTGAGTATCCAGTAGGTTACAGATGTACAGAAAGGATCAGTACCTGTTCCCAACCATAATCTGACCCTCCAGTGGGGAAAATAATTAGGTAGCAGATCTCATCAAATCCCTAATAGGAATGAGAAGAGGGGAGAACTTAACCTCTACGTCGTTCCCCTCACTGTGTTTGAATGGTGCTGGTCTCCTCCTAGTTATGAGGAGGCAGATGGGAAGCTCAACTGTCTTCATTTCTTGCTTGGGGCTCACAATGCTCTCTGTCCCACAGGGAAGTACTACATGGCCACCATGACCATGGTCACGTTCTCCACAGCGCTTACCATCCTCATCATGAATCTGCATTACTGTGGCCCTAGTGCACATCCAGTGCCTGCTTGGGCTCGAGTCCTCCTGCTGCAACACCTGGCCAGAGGCCTGTGTGTACGGGAACGCGGGGAGCCCTGTGGGCAGTCCAGGCCACTAGAATCAGCCCCCAGCCTCCAGCCTCCAGCTGGTCTCCCAGCGGGACCTTGTCATGAGCCACGGTGTCTATGCCATCAGGAAGCCCTTCTGCATCATGTGGCTTCCATTGCCAGCACCTTCCACAGCCACAGGGCTGCCCAGCGCTGCCATGAAGATTGGAAGCGCCTGGCTCGAGTTATGGACCGCTTTTTCCTAGGCATCTTCTTCTGCATGGCTCTAGTCATGAGCCTCCTGGTACTGGTCCAAGCCCTGTAAGGACCAGGAACTGGATCTTAGGGAGCTGTGGTCACCTCAACATCTCCAGGCAGGAATGACAAAACCCAGGTGGTTGTTGGGACTCAGATAGGCTAGCCAGTCTCTCCCCAAACTACTGCTAAGAGTCAAGAACAGCTCTTCAGGTCCAGCACTTCCGCCCTCACAATCTGCAAACAGCCTTTGTGATCTTCAAGCTCTGAGGGGGGTCAAAACCCTGCCTCTCCCTTAATTACAGTATGACTGAGGTCAAGGTACAGACCTGGAGAATAAGACTCAATGTCAGCTGAGCAAGATGGTGCACTCCTGTAATCCCAGCACATGGAGGTTGAGACAGGAGAGGAGGACTGCCATAAGTTCAAGAAAAGCCCGAACTCCAGAATAATAAATAACCGCCATGTCTGCACGTGGAATTATAGCTAAGCTGGGAGAATCCAGGTTATTTTTATTTGCTGAGTCAGAGTCTCACTATGTACCCCTGTTGGCTGGAACTTGCTATGTAGTCCAGAGTGGCCTCGAACTCACACGGACCCACCTGCCTCTGCCTCTCCAAAGGCAGGTGCCTGAAGGGTTACCACTCCTGGCTAGAGTGTAGGTTACTAATTAAAGAGACAAAGCTACACATTTGCTTATCATCCTTAGCAGTTGCTATTACACTCAACTTGCTTTTCTCTGCTAAGGCTCTCAGGGATAGAAATAAACTGTCTAGCTTGTTTCCAGAACAGAAAGCAACGCAGACTTTTGTCCCAGAGCTTCAATCCATAATAAATGAGAGTCTGTCCAGAACCTTCTCCGTGTCTTGTTTTTCTCCTTGGGGTCACATCCAGAAGTTGGGGATCCAGGTTTGTCTTTATAGGTAGGAATCTCAGGACTCACAGATCAATGCAAGAGTTGTATCTTTTTTAAAAATCACAATTGTGTATGTGTGCGTGCACATGCTCATGCACCAGAGTGCATTTGTGGAGGTCGGAGAACAATGTGGGTCGTCGGTTCTCTCCCTCTGCCATGTGAGATCCAGGGACCAAACTCAAGTTATCAGGTTTGGTGACGAGCACCCTTACTCACCAGCCCAGAAATGACCTTTCTGAGATTTCACAGGACCCTGAGAGAGGGTCTAATACTTTCTCCGTCATTTTCCCTGCTGTCCATCCTTACAGTGAGACACAGCCACCCTATCTCACACACTGACATATACAGAGCTCAAGAGTGGCCCAGGTAGGGGGGGTGCAGGAATCACCACTGATATGATCGGTTGCTTTCTTACTGTCACACAGCTTCTGGCAATTTCTTTGTGCCTTCTTCCCATTCCTTACCCATAAGAAGCTCAGTTTGACCTAGGAAATGCTCAGGGACCAATAGGTACTCTAACCTAGCCAGGTGGCAAAACTTTCCAGGTAGCCATAGGAAAAATTAAGTGACCCCAGCATATCCCTACATGGCCAAGTGCTCTCCTGCATCATCACCCACAATGAGTTGACGTCTTCTGGCTCCAAGTAAGTCTCTGCCTGTCCTAGAATCCTCTGACCTCCAGTAAGTCCCACTCCTACAGCTCTAAACCAGATTCAGTCTCCAAATTCTCTTCTGTGTCTCCACCGTCACCAAGTCTGGAAGGTCATTGCCATAGAAGGTCCCAGAAGTCCCTGCAGATAGACTGATTCACCAGGATCCTGCTATACTTAAAGCGCACAGGTGACCAACATTCCTCAGGTAGGGCCGGTTCAACATCTGGTAGGTCACAGGAGGCCTGGATTCTCTGGAAGGGCCCTCAGCACAAGGAGCCAGAGCAGCAGCATTAGAGAACAGGAGGCAGAGACGGGCCCCGGGGCTACGGGAGGAAAAGATTTAGGAGCAGTGTGAGGACATGGAGATGAAATGCAGAGATTGGCACAGTGAGCTGAAACAAGAGGGTAAGAGACCAGTGAGGGTCACAGTCCCCCATCCAGAGACCCATCAGCTCTAACCGCTGCCACCTGCTGACACAAAGGAGATGCCACACTGCCCTGTGGATGAGCCTCGAGGGCAGAGAGCTGAGATCTAGTGATGTTGAACCTGGCCCCTCCATCCACGCCCTGGGCGGAGGAGTGATGAGCGGGAATGTGGAGGCAAAGCGTCTTAACTTTCCATGTCTCAAATGATGCACCAGCTGATTGTAGAGGCCCACTCGGGATACAGTGGTCTGCTTGGCCAGCATCCTAGCACTCAGGAAGCTAAGGCAAGAGAATGGCCCACTTAAGGCCAGCCTGGACCGCACATGATTTCTAGGACAACCTGGACAACACAGTAAACTCCCCTGTCTCAAAAACAAAACAGAAGGTCTGGTTTGAAGTTGGAGACCCGGGCTCTGGTCACTCTTCCACCTTGGCCAAGTCATTGCACTGTGTTCCTGGTCTCACTTTTCTACATGGGAACAGCATTCCAGGATCACTGGTAAACTGCTGTGTGGCAGAGGGTAGGGACTGTCAGGGTGGGCAGTTCACAGTCCAGCTCTGCAGCCAGGCTATAGACATGATTCCTCACTAGCCATGTGGGGAAGGACGGCTTTCTGTCCTCTGTAAATGTGGCTGACGCTGAGTAAGGTGACACACACTTTTTTTTTTTTTTTTTTTTGAGACAGGATTTCTCTGTATTGTTTTGGAGGCTGTCCTGGAACTCGCTTTGTAGACCAGGCTGGCCTCGAACCCACCAACGCCCGGCAACACACACCTTTAATCCCAGCACTCGGGAGGCTAGGGCAGGTGGATCTCTGTGAGTTCCAGGTTAGCCCGATCTACAGAATGAGTTCCAGACCAACCAGGGCAGCACAGAGAAACCCATTCTGGAAAACAAATAATAATAAACTGTACCAGTGTCATTGAACTGTGCTGAGGATTCATGGTGTGAAGAGCCTGGAACTCCTAGTACTGTTATGTCAGGGAAAATGGAAGGAACTGAGTATCTTTCCTGCCCACTGGCTACAGACCCTCGACGGAGGGAGTCCTGGTGATAGAGTAGGAAGTGTAGCTGGGAGATGGGGGTGGGGGTGGTGCAGGTAATTCTCCTTTGGAAGTGGCCTATTCCCACCTAAATAAGTGGTGGCCCAGGCAGGCATTGGCACATCAGGTGTACGAGAGGACTCACAACTGAAAGAAATACAGGTGTCTTGCTTATTACAAACTAGGAAACTGAGGCAGAGGCAAAGCATAGTTAAGTCAGAGCCCATACAAGAGTACAGTCCTTGAAAAGTACATCTGAAGGAGCCCTGCAGACAGTAACAGGGACACCAAGTTTGGTGTCTGCCCAAGGCAGAACATTTCGGGGAGCCGTCTCTCCCCTAGTCTCCTAGTGCAGCAGCCTGAAACAGGGCTTGGCAGTGGCCCTCCTCTGAGAGGCGCAGGGGCTGCTGCAGAGCCACCTACACATTTCACTCCTTAGGGACTCCCTTCTTAGGTAAAGAGGTGGGTTTATAAGAGTAAGAGGGAAGTTAGTGAGGGTCCAGCCCCGGGACAGACTGATCAAACAGCTCCATCGCTTACCTGAGCTATCCAACTTGCAGGGCCCCGATCTGCACCTCTTTTCTGTAGGAAGGGAAGGAAGGAAGGAAGGAAGGAAGGAAGGAAGGAAGGAAGGAAGGAAGGAAGGAAGGAAGGAAGGAAGGAAGGAAGGAAGGAAGGAAGGATAATCAATGCTTTAGTAGCTCTCTGATTGGCCAGGACCCTGAGCGCTCTGATGATGAAACCTTGACCCTCTGTAACTCTGCACTCCTAGGGAGGACCTCCCTAGATCACATTCGCTTGACCTGAGCCCTGAGGACAGAAGGGAAGCAGCCGTGTAAGCCAGGATCTCTTTCTGGCCCGCTCCTGCTCTCTGTCCTGTGACTGCCTCCTTAGCACACGCCCAGCTCATTTTCCTGTGCCCTGTCCCAGACAGGGAGGCGCTGGTTTGTGTTCTTGGCCTGCCTCCCTCCTGGCTCACAGCCATTTGAAGTGGGAATTGGGCCACAATGGACCTCCTCCCATTTCAGCCATGGTCATTGTGTGGGCTAACTGTCCGCCTCTTAACTATGAAAGTTAGGTCTCGCTCAGCTAGGAGCACTAGTCAGTCCACAACACACACACACACACACACACACACACACACACACACACACACACACACACACACACACACGGCTAAGAAAGGCTTCCCTGTTGTTCCCCCTCTGGCTTGGATGGAGGAGGAACAGCTGGCATGCTCCTGCCACAAGTTGGCTGGCACAGGTAGACCGGAACTTAGAGGCACAATACCCACCTGCTATCTCCCTCCCATTCCTGCCCAGCATAGGCTCCTGCATAAAATTCCCATTCCGTCTGGTAAAATTACAGCTCTCAAGGCTGGGAGTTTTACTCAGTTACTTTTCTTAACCCTCATTCTATCTACTACTAGTGTGTGAGAGCTAAGGGGAGGGTGCTTCCGGGGTATGTGGAGGTCAGAGACGGCCCTGTGGAGTCAGCTCTCTCCCTCCCTCTTTGGGGACTGAAATGAAGAAGTAGGGCTTGCACAGCAAAACTCCTTTGCCGCCCGAGCCATCTAATGTCCCCCTTTTACTTAGCTCTGCCAGCAAATGTCTTGGTGTCAATACTATGACTAGAAATTAATTCCTTTCCCGCTTCCAGCTGGGACAACAGCCTGGTCCAAATGTGCCAAATGTGCCAAAGGCCTCTCCTTCATTCCTATGTGTCTGTCTCCCCAACGCCTCCTAATTCCCATCACCTTATTGCCTGGGAATCACATGCAGCCTCAACCTGCTGAGCGCTGGTATCACTGATGTGAGCCCCACGTGCTATGCTTGAGTCTTTTATCATTTACGTATGAATTCTTTGGCTGGGGTGGGGGTTAGGGTTTGGATTTGCCAAAGCTCGTGGCAAATACTGGAAGCCCATCTTTTTGGAGGACTGGCCTTGCTTGCTCCTCACCTTTGATGTATTCGCAATTGTATGTGCTGCGTTTGCCCAGAGCGCGCAGATAGATGCGTGCCGGACCTTGGGCAGGTCGGCTGGCATTGATCACCTGGAAAGTCTCAAAAGGGGGGATCAGCACCTCTTCCTCTGCAGGAAAAACGGAGTAACCCCTGATCGGGGCCCCGAGGCAAGTCCAGATACCAAAGAAGGTGTCAGTGCCAAATTGCTGGGCGGCAACGTACTTGAGGGACGCGGAAGCAAAGCCCCCCAGCCTAACGGTAGCGCCGGGCCCCGCTGGCCGGAAGCGCAGGCCATTCACCCCCCTGTACACCTGCCGGCACCCGCGAGATCGGTGGCTCCCGAGCAGCTGCAGGGCCTCGGTGAGCAGGAAGTGGAGGGTCTTGAAGGAGAAGTGGTGGAGGTAGTGGGCCCGAGAGCGACCCGCCTCGCGCACTGCCGCGTTGAATTTCCTGTACAGGGAACTGCTAGCCGTGTAGGCCAGGAGTGCCACCCCGTGCTCATCCCGGAAGCCCGGGGGTGGTAGGGGCAAGGGGGGCAAGGAGGGCAAGGGGGGCAAGGGGGTTGGGCTGAGGGCCCCCCCTGACCGCGGAACCTTGCGCTGCTGCCATTGGCTGTTGGCCTGAGCCCATCCATCCGCGTACACTTTGTTGGCCTGGAACTCTGAGTGGTTGAGACCTGGCAGAGCCGCTGTCATGTCTGCTGCACAGCCAGCATACTGGTCATCAAAGGACGCTGGGGCCATGTCCAAGGGTATTTCTTGAGAAAAGATGTCTAGTTGTGTGATGGAGTGACTTTGAACCTGAGGGTAGAGGGTAAGGGAGTATCAAAGATGTGAGGTCCATAGGAAAATGGGAACCCAGTCATGCAGCTTCCCCTGCTCTGAGAAAGAGCCTGTCTGCTGAGAAAGGCAGAGAGGACCCCAAATACCCGGAGGAGGGGTATTGGGAGCCACCAGCTGAAAGCTCCTCAAGACTAGGCTTTCAGGAGACCCCCTAGAAGGGACAGGCGGGTTCCCAGGGAGCACTGGACGTCCTTCCCTCTGCTCCTCCTCCCGGGATTGAGAGAAGCCAGCAGTCCCGTGTCTCAGACTGCTGCTGGAGGATAACCATACCTGAAGTCCATCCCTGAGGCCCACAGACACCAGTAGGAGAAACATCATGACTGGAATCTTCATGTTGGAAGTGACCCTGGGCAAGCTGCTGTTGCTTTTCCCTCATCTGGAAAATTGGGACGTTAATCTGTACCCTTTAGTAAACTTTACCTGACACCTAGTGTCTTTTGGACCAAGGGACGGGGGAGTCCCACAGCCTCTGACACCCTGAGGGTGATCACACTGACCACAGAAACATTCATCTCAAAACCAGTGCTGTAGCTGCCATGCATGCTGTCCCTTCTCTCTCTCTCTCTCTCTCTCTCTCTCTCTCTCTCTCTCTCTCTCTCTCTCTCTCTCTCTCTCTCTCTCTCTCTCTCTGTGTGTGTGTGTGTGTTTGAAACAGGGTTTCATACACCCATGCTATCCTGGAACTGGCTACTGAACCAAAGATGACCTTTAATCTTTGACCCTCCTGCTTCCACCTCCTAAATGCAGGCCTAATGGATATAAGCTACTTGCTTATTTTACCACAGAGTAAGTCAGGTACATTTTATGACAAAGTAATGCCATTTGTAAGAAGATGAGTGTATGAATGATAACATCCTCTTTCTCCCTTCTCTCTGTTCACCCATTCCAGTCTTACACACTCCTGCCCGTGGGAGGAAGTGGCCAGTGATAATGTGTCTTTCAGTGCCTTTCTCAGAAACATCTGCACAGCATAATTAACTGTTTCTTTGCAAGGGGGAGGTCAAAGCCTTGTGTATGCTACACAAGCACTCTCCCATTGAGCCTCAGAATAATAGATTAAGCACACGTGCGCACAATGTTCTATATGCAAGGTCTTGGGTTTATTGTCCTTTTTTCCCAAAGAAAAAATGCATATATATATGTATATATGTATATATACATACGTACATCTCAGGGGCTTCCAAGTAAGCACGCTCATATCTAACTTGTTCATTATAGTGACCACATGGTATGTTTCATGGTATAATTAAACCATTGAATGGCCGTGCAGATTTTTTTCATAACGTTTGGTTTGCTTTGCAGCAGGATCTGACCGTGTAGTCCAGGCCAACCTTAAGCTCACGCTGTGTCCCAGGCTGGCACTCTGTGTAACTGCAGTTCCAAATGATCTTCAGCTTTGAGTGCTGGGATTACAGGTGTGCACCACCACACAGGGGTGGGCTGTTCTTTATATTAATAGGCTCTGCCCAACTATGATTCAGAAAGAAGTCGGTTCGCCCTCCCACCGCTAGCGGGACATGTCTTGGCCAATGCTATTGTTGTCTTGCTAGATTATTTTGTTCTGGTTTGAATTTTTTGTTTGTTTGTTTTTCCGAGAGAAGGTCTCCTATAACCTAGCCTGGCCTCAGTACTGAGTAACTGACATGGCCTTGAACTTCTGATCCGCTAGCCTCCACCTCCTGAGTGCGGAGGTTACAGGTGTGCCCCCATGCCTGGCCTACCGACAGCTCTTTAAGTTTTCATTCGATTGGTCTGGAGACCAGTGTGCACCTGTGTTGCCGTCCCCACTCTGAAGGTTTTCCTTCAGGAAACAGAAGCAGATGTGCTTAAGAGAAAGGGGAGACATGATTATGCAACCTGTAATGCCAGCACTGGGGAGGCCAAGGCAGGGAGATGGTGGGCCTGGGACTTCATGAGACCTGATCTCAAAGTCAAAAAACAAAGCAAAACAAAAGAAAGTGACCCAGAAGAGTAATTTGCATCATTACTGTTGAAGTCAGGCAGAGATGAGATCCCCGAGAGGATTGGTTGGAGAAACCAAGAGAAGCTGAGCAGTGACCCTAGACTTAGAAAGATCCAGGCTCTGGGCTTTCATGAGATTCTTTGCTTCCGGTCCTTGGGCTCAGTGAGAACCCTGCAACCCTTTGATATCACCCTTTAGGCTTAATCCATCTTGGGATAGCTCCTGTGAGCGTGCCAGCAGAAGACACTCGGGTGGTGCCCTATCTCCATTAGCACCCAGTCGCTCAAGATGGTCACATGGGTATCCATCCATTTAATCTTTCATCACACATGACCGCAATTGCCAGCTCATGTTAGGCCCAAGTGGCCTCCTGGATTCTCCTTCCCTTCCTTGTCGAGGCCCACATCTCTGCTCTGCTTAATTTTGTCTGTCTCCTCTTTACAAGATCTTCCTATCTCCCGTCAGCCTTGCTAGTACATTCTACATGGAGCAGGGAGAACAACGTCTCCAAATCACGGCCCTATTTACACCTTTACCTGCTTAAAAACCTCTGTGTGGGAGTGGGGAAAGAGCTCAGTGGTTAAAAGGATAGACTGCTCTTGCAGAGGGCATGAGTTCAACTCCCAGCACCCACACTGAAATGGCTCATGACTGTTTGGAACTCTGCCTGTAGGAAGATCTGATACTTCTGGACTTTGGTGGGTACCTGCTCTCAGGTACACATACCCACATACAGACACACAAATACACACATAATTAAAAATAAAATATTAAAAAAATCTTCTGTGCCTAAACTAACTAGAAGAAATATGAGAGATGGTAATATATCTTTTTTGTTGTTTTGTTTTTCAAGACAGGGTTTCACTGTGGAGCCCTGGGTGTGCTGGAACTAACTCACTCTGTAGGCCAGGCTGACCTTAGAATCACAGAGATCCACCTGCCTCTGCCACCCCTGCCCAGCCATTTTTTAAATAAAAAAATAAAATAAGGAGACAAGGCCCTGTATTTGATTTCCAGCACCTCCTAGCAGTCAAGCATGATAGCACATGCCTGGAATCCCAGTTCTGGGGAGGTGGACAGGGAGGATCAGGGATTCAGGGCCACACAGTGCGTTCCAGGACAGACTGGAAGACACAAGTCCCTGTCTCAAACCAAAGCAGCAAAATGAAGCAAAGCATCTCTCTACACCTTCAGGATAGCCCAACCTTATTCTGGTTTTTGATCTGCTCAGTGACCTTGCCCCTAGGAACGTTTTAGTCCCTTCTTGGCTCCTACAGCACAGGAGCCAAAAGGAGCAAAGTTCCGAGGAGATGATGCTGTTCCCCCTACCCTCAGCTATCCTCTGGCCACCACTTTTCCAGGCTTGGCTCAGGGCTCCCCTCTTTCAGAAAGTCCCCAGAATCCTCTGGGCTCCACATCACTTTGTGTGACTATCCCCCCCAACCCCTGGCTCTGCAGGAACCAGCAATAGCCCATTATATGACCCCTTGGCTCAACCCAGGACCAGCTGGTCACCAGACTGCTTGCTGCAAGTCTTGCTAAGGAGGAAAAATCTACATAAACAGGACCGGCGGGTGCCGGATGGGTGAGTGGACTGGTGTGGAAAGACTGGCATCCGTCTTCCCTTTTGGGTCAGGTTCTGTCACCCTGAATGCAGATGTGTCCATCACCTCTTTGGGCAGGGTTTCTGTCTTCCACTCTCAGGGGCTACACAGCAGCTTCCCCGGAGCCTCAGGTCCCACAGTTTCAGCTACTGAGCCCTCTCTCCATGTCCTTTAGGCAAGACATATGACCCCAGTCAGTCACCCTGGAAAATCAGTGGAAGCCTGCCTCTTCCCGTGTAAGGACAGCAGCACCCTATCTGTCGGTGTTGGCTCCCTTCCATTCGAGAACCGAAGCCTCGCTAAAGCTCGTCTGTGGCCACCATACACCCTTGTCTCTGTAGCCAGCTCCATCCTGTTTCTATTCTGTGTTGAAAGACCCCCAAGTCTCTGGTAAACAAGCCCAAGGAGCTTTCTGAGCATTGCTAACAAGACAGAGCACCTCAGAGTAAGTAGATAGCTGTCCTTGGTGACCAGTGTTGGGCAGGGGGAAGCTCAGCAGGGATTGTTCTGGGACACTGGGAATTCCCCCTCCCCATTTTTTTCTTTTTCTTTTTTCTTTTTTTTTTTTTTTGTGACGAGATCTTGTTAGGTAGCCCAGACTGGCCTTTAACTTAGTCTCTGGCGTGAGAGAGCTGAATCCATCTTGGAAATCCCTTTCCACAGTGGAGGAGTGACACTTCTCTTCATCCTGTGACCCACGATCTTGTTTCCCTCTCCTCCCTCACTCATTGGTCCCTTCTGGGAATATGACCCCAAGTCTCGTCTCAAACTCCCCAAACCTTCCTAGGTGTCCTCGACCATTCCATCCTAAAACTTTACTATTACCCTAAATTTTATATCAAAAGTTCCTTCTCTGCTCCCTGCTCGGGGAGGTAAGGTGCCCCTTACCTAGCTTTCTCCGTGGTGGGCAAAGCTGGGCTTGTCTTCCTGTGACAGACAGGCAGGGAGGTAGCTTTCTCTTTTATACTGTCAGTCCCCTACCCCTCCTGCTTCCCCACACAGCTGCTCAGAAATGTGACACTCCCCCGTCTATTTCAAGCTATCTCCTCAAGGCTCAGGAACAGTAGCCTTTGCCCAATGTGACCTGGGCCAACATTCTTCCCGTGACAATGAGAGCTGCTGAACACAGAAGGAAGATGCCCTGGGGGTGCTGAGGAGACAGAACAGCAGCCTCCACACCAGACTGTACTCTGGTCAGCCGAAAAGGCACCCCCACCTCCAGGCATCACATTTCATCTTTTGCTATTATTATTTATTATCATTATTGCTTTCTTTCACAATGTCCAGGCTGGCTTTGAACTTGAAGCAGTCCTTTTGCCTCTGCCTCCCCCCTGAGTATAGGCATGTACCATGTCAAGCTTTGCTCTGTTCTAAGGAGCCTCGGTTCTAGCTGGATCCCTGACTGGCCGTGTGACCTGGGAGGACCCTCTGCCCCTTCAGGATCCCAAGCCCACGACCAGATTTAACTCCACTTCTTGGGGCCTTATAGGAGCTCCAGGTGCTGGGGTGTAAGAGACTCCCCAAGCCAGAGGCTGTCCCCACGCAGAGGGAGGATGGGGTAGGTAGGCAAGGGATTGCTGCTCTCCCACATCCAACCCAGCCTTCCCACCAAATGGGCACAGTCTGTTTTCCTCTCGTCATTAAGAAGGAATGGAGAACAGAGGCTTCCGGGTGAAGGAAACTTTATTTGGCTGGCAATCTGAGGTGGTGAAGGGGTGGTGATGGGTAAACTCATGAGCTGAGCCAGAGAGGCCCTTGGCAGGTTTCACAGCCCTGCTTCCCCTGCGCCCAGCAGGTGGCATCTCTAAGCCCTGTTGCTTAGGACATGAGTCCTCCACCTCCCTATAAACTGGCCCCTTCTCCCATTACTTCCAACTGGGCATCTGAAACTCAGAACTAGGCTATTTATAGTCAAGACCAACGGAGGTGTGACAGAGCTGTGTTTACAAACATGGGGTCACCTGAACCAGAGAGGTCCAGAAGGCAGCTAGCGCTCCCTTCTATCCTTCCCTGCAGACAGGGTAGGAACACAATGTAGGGAAGGGAGTGGGGGGGGGGCTTTGATGCTGGTGCACGTGACTCAACGTATATATTATGCAAATGGTATGCAAATAAGACAGATTTGGTGACTTAACTAGCAGGATGTATAAGCAGCGACCCTGGAGGGGCTTCGTGGCCTGGTGGTCCAGGCCCTGGCCCGGTCCCAGGGCCACCAGAGAAAAGGCCAAGTCTCATAAGTCCCTCCCAACCTTGACCTAGCTCAGATCTTACCGAAAGAACCTGTCATCCAAGGGAAGGAGCGGTTTGCCCCTCAACCACTCAAGGACTCTGCCAGTCCGGCTCCCACGCCCCTGTCTGTTGTTGCGGAAGATAGGTGTCGGGTTACCAGTTCAGGGGCTATAGTTAGCCGCGGGGACTTTGTTCAGCAGTCCGAGACCTGCGCAGCTCCTGCCCGCACTTCAGACCAAATCTGCCGCAAAGGACCAGAGCCCCTGCCCGCTCTAGGCCTCCACCAACCTCCAGGTGGGTCCTCGTCCTCGCCCCGCCCCTCTCCAGGCGGAGCCATTTAACGGCCCCACCTATACAACAGCAAGAAAGTCCTGGAGAGCACGAGTGTGGGGCCATCTGGTAGTTGTAGACGAGGGTTTGAGATGGGGACAGTAAAATCCGAAGCCCTGCCCATCCTTAGCCTGTGTTGGCCCCGCCCCACCTCACTCCTGACTAAGGACCTTTTGGGTACAGGAGGAAGGTCCTGGAGCTCATCCAAGCCAGCACCCCTCTTCCTCTGGCCTCATCATCTGTTTCCTACCATTCTGGGACTCCTCCAAGGATGATTCTGGAGGATCTGCTAATGGTCCTCAGCTGCCTCGGCCTGCACACCCTCTGGAAGGTAACTCTTGGGACTAGACGCCGAGATGGTGGTGGAGGAAGGAAACCCTCCTAGATGTCTCTTCCCTTCTCCCAGTCCTCTTCTCAGGAACTTGTGTTCCGTTAGGTAGCCCAAGTGCCCGATCTCTCTCCCAGAACTCCACGCCCCTGCACCCCTAGTCCCCATATGATTCTCCCTCCATGCTACCCCTCCATAGGGTTGTGTCCAACTTTCTCCTTCCCGCTTCTCATACCACAGGCTAAGCACAAGCAAATCCCTGTGCATACCAGTGTGCTGCTGTAGACCCTGAAAACCAGGCTTCACCCCTGCCCCATCACACTCTGGGATTGGGCTTAGGCTGGGGACAATAAACCCCCACCCACCCCACCTTGAATTCAGAATAACATCTTCTAAAGCAGGAGAGCAGGCAGGAATGTCAGGGCTGACAGTGATGTGCACTGAGCTGCAGGACTTCCACAAGCATAAGGAGGCTGGGGCTCAGGGCAGGGACCAGACACTGGCTGCAATCTACTGCCCGCAGACTGACTGTCAGAGCCAGGGAAGCCCAGGAACCAACCAGACGTGTCTCTGGGAAGATGAGGCGACGTCCTTTAGGTTGTGCTGCAATGATCTTTACGCTCTCCTCACAATAACCCTGTGAGGCTGGAAGTACCCTTAACTCATAGAAGAATGTGAAGTCCAGGAAAGCCCTGACCTGAGACTTGCTCGAGATCCCACAGCTAGCAGGTGGTGTCTAAACTCGTGTCTGTCTGACTCCACTGACTGTGTTATTTGTGCCTGTTTGGGGTCTTGCCAATTGCATGCATCAGATGTTTGGACATAGAAATGGAAACCTCTGGTTCTGAACTGATCTGCCACTAGGACCCCTGGCCGGTGTTCTCAACTTACACTCTTGCCTTTGTGGTATCTCCCTCCCTTATGCCCACAGGTCCAAGCTGTTCCTATCCTGCCCCTGAGCCTGGTTCCAGACACCTTCGATGATGCCTACGTGGGCTGTTCCGAGGAGATGGAAGAGAAAGCAGGCCTGCTGCTAAAGGAGGAGATGGCACGCCACGCCCTGCTACAGGAATCCTGGGAAGCAGCCCAAGAGGCCTGGGAACACAGGCGTCACATGCTTACGCTACCTCCTGGCTTCAGAGCCCAGCATGGAATAGCTATCATGGTGTACACCAACTCATCCAACACCTTGTACTGGGAGCTGAACCAGGCTGTGCGGACAGGGGGCCGTTCCCGGGAGCTCTACATGAGGCACTTCCCTTTTAAGGCCCTCCACTTCTACCTGACCCGGGCCCTGCAGATGCTGAGAGGCACTGGGGGCTGCAGTGGGGGAGATGGGGAGGTGGTGTTCCGAGGCATGGGCAGCCTTCACTTTGAACCCAAGAGGCTGGGGGACTTTGTCCGATTAGGACAGTTTGCCTCCAGCTCTCTGGATGAAACAGTGGCTCGAGCGTTTGGTAATGCCACTTTCTTCAACCTAAGGACTTGTTTTGGGGCTCTTATCCAGGCTCTGTCTGTCTTCCCTGAGGAGCGTGAGGTGCTGATACCCCCACATGAAGTCTTCTTGGTCACTGGGTACATCCAGGATGGAGCCCAGAGCATAGTAAATCTCTGGAGTTCTAACCAGACCTGCAGCCACTTTAACTGCGCCTATTTGGGGGGTGAGCGATGCATGAGAGACAGAGAATGGCAGGGTGGGTGAAAGGAACCAGCATGTCCTGACCCAGTCCCCCGAGCCTTCAGGAGAGCTGCTTGGTTAGTGAGGCTGAAGTTCTGCCAGGTCCTGTGAGAGTTTCACAATCTGTGGACATTCTCAATGACTGTCTTCTCAAAAGAGTCGTTCTGTGGTACCCATTAGACCAAGGGACGGAGTGAAGGAGGCTGGAACTGCCTCCGGCCTCAGTAGGCCCTGTTTGACGGGGCTAACAGGGCAGGACCGTGCCAGGCAAGTCCTGGGAGGCAGGAACAGACTGGAGAGTGGTGACGGGACGGGTAGGAGCAAGGATGGATAGGCAATGTGGAAAGGTTACCTCAGGGAGAAGCTGAAAGGAACTGAGGGGGAAGAGAAGACAGACGTTTGGGATTGAGTCACATCAGGGCCTCACTGTGCTATCTGTTGCAGGGGAGAAGAGGCATGGCTGTGTGTCCTCAACAGGTAAGCCACCCTCTAGCCTGCTCTGTGAGCTGTTCTGCTCCCCCTGCCCTGCTGCCAACCTCACCTTCCTCTCTTCTTTCTCCAGAAGTAGGGCAGCCAGAGTTATCCTCCACAGAGGCCTTGGCTCTGCCATCAGGGAGGACAATGCTCTTGGCCCCTGGGGAGTTGCGGCTCTCGAGAGCTGGACCCTGAAAGCCTCTTAGGAACCTTGGGAACTGATGACCTTTTTATGACCTTTCTATGAAGAGAGGGCTTTGGGTGGCCCCAAGAAGCAATGGTGTGGTTCTGGTTCTAGTCCTAGGGGCTACCTCTCCAACCAGGGATAGAGACCTGAGGCCATGGCAGGGTCGAGGGAACCCCACTATGTGGTGGGGACTTCCTAGGACACATGAGGTCAAGACTGGATGGCTACTCAATTAAACCAAGTTGTGGTATACAGAAATGGCCTTTTACGACTGGTTTGTTTCATGAGGGCATTTGTCCTTGGCAGACTTGAAAGGCAGGGACTCAAAACTTAACTTCTTCTTTTTTTTTTTTGGTTTTTCGAGACTTTGTGGCTTTGGAGGCTGTCCTGGAACTCACTCTGTAGACGAGGCTGGCCTCGAACTCACAGAGATCCGCCTGCCTCTGCCTCCCGAGTGCTGGGATTAAAGGCATGCGCCACCAACGCCCGGCTAAAACTGAACTTCTTGATCTTCCTAGTCACACACTTTAACCTCTGCACCTGGAGCTTTTTAACAGCCAGAGGTCCTCACAACTTCCTTTAAGGTGGAATAGATGGGCTCCCAGCCCTGCTGGTCTTAGGAGGTCAAGGAAGGACAGCACCTCCAGTCTCCCCAGCCCCCACCTCTCAGACCCCTGCCACCGGCAGGCCCCCCACAGTCAGGACTCCGTACTCTCAGTACCTCTACTCTCAGACCTCCCCACTTTTAGCCCCCCACTCTCAGGTCCCCCAATTCTCAGGCCTCCTGATTCCCTGGTCTCTTCTCTCCCAGGCCTCCAGCCTCCTAGGCCAGAACTCTTCCCACTAAAGACCTAAGGAATCCCAAAGTAGAACTAAGCTGTTTCTCTCTGCCCTTCTCACATGGGGCCCATTTTATGGGGAAGTATGGAAGGGATCATAGGACATAAAGAGGATTGCTACCTGACTTCCACAGCAGAAATTTTACTGAGGCAAAGAAACACCATGGTCTTCTACTACGAGACCCTTGCTCTACCCAACAAGGCTGCTGAGCTCAGCGACAGAAGAGACCCTTCTGTTGCGTTAGGACTCGTCCTTGGTCTCCAGACCTTCCTCCAGGGGCAGGTCCTCTGCCCCATCTGCTTCTTGCTCCCGGTGCACCAGCACGTAAGCAGGGGAGGTGTGGCTGGGTTCTCCAGATGCTGGAGTCTCAGCCTCCCCAACAGCATCAAGGTCACCTTCTAAAGAGACCTCGGTCTCTACAATCCCTGGCATGGTCAGCTCTGCTGGGGTCTCAGGGGTGGGGGGGCCAAGATTCTGGAAGCTGTTGCGCACTCGGGTGATGTAGCGACTGAGGATGCTGGCACCATCGGGAGGCCGTGGTGTCCCGCCTGCCGCCAGAGTCTTCTGCACACTGGCCACCTCGCTTTGCAGTCGAGACACAGTTTTGGTCAGCTCTGTCAGTCTGGTACCCAGGTCTGAGATGGATCAGGACAGAGAGGTCTCTCAGAAGGTGAGCCTGTCAGCACCTCTTCTGTGTCCCCCCACTCCACCCTACCTAGCCCTGGGACACCCCATCTGGATCCTAAGGGAGGGCTGGGAGAATTGAGGGGCCAGGCAGGTAGAAAAGCTGTGCAGGCGAATGTGAGTATTGATGGAAGGGCGGCAGCAAAGAAGGAAAGCCTTGGCCAGACTTGGTGCAGGCCATCTAGTCGGGAGACTGAGGAAAGAGGACGGAGAGTTCAAAGCCAGCCTAGGCTTCAAAGTAAGATCAAGACCAGACTGGGAAGCGGGGTGGTGGGGGCAGTGGCGGCAGCAGGGCATGCACTGGGGAGACCAAGGCAGGTGGATCTTTGTGAGCTCGAGGCCAGCCTGATCTACAGCAGAGCGAGTTCCAGGACAGGTTCCAAAGCAATACAGAGAAACCCTATCTGGAAAAACAAAAACAGAAACAAAAGACCAGACTGGGAAACTTAGTAAGAGTGGAAGGGAGAGGGGGAGGAGGAGAGGGGAGGAAGAGAAGGGAGGAGAGAGGCGGAAAGGGGGAGCTCATATGTGAGCACACATGGGTTGAATGGGGGACATAATGACATGTAAATAAAGGCAGAGTAACTGAGTCAGGCAGTTAGCTGCGCAGGCTGTGACTTTCCAGGGCAGAAAGGACGAGACTCCATCCTCACTGAGTGAGGAGGGGGAGTCTGGGTGTGGAGATTACTTCCCCGAGAGTCATGAACAGCAATGGGGAAGGATTAGAGGTGGGCAATTGACCTTTTCTGCGGGTCTCCTCGAACTCACGCCGGGCAGTCTCTATGTAGCGCTGCACCAGAGCCTTGATAACACGAAGGCGGTAAGACCCACATTCTCCTTCCCCAGGCCCTGCCCTTGCCCCAGGGTTGGTCTGCAATGGAAGACAGAGTGAATTCTCTCTTGACCAAGAATAAAGGAAAGGCAAAATCTATGAAAGCTTTCTGTCCCTGTCTCTTTCCTACAACACAGTCCTGGAGGACAGCTGGAAGCTGATGTGAGAGGACCGGTGTCTATCGTGGTGACGGCTGTGAGGTGTAGTGTGCTGGGAGGGAAAGACACTGTAGAACTGGCAGCAATGGTTCAAATGAGAAAAGCTCTCACACCCAGACAGGCTGGGTTGTGATGCTGATGATGGGAGGTAGGGGGCCCCTTGGGTGCCCAGCTGCCTCTTTCTGCCTCTGTCAACCTTCTCGTTCCTCAGGAGGCCTTTTCCACAGGCTGCTCAAATCACCCAAGCATGTCTTATAGTGTGGTTGTCTGGAAGTCGGGCTTGGGATGGCGATGGCATGGCATGGAATCGTGTCTAGGCTGCAGGATGTGGGACCCAGACAGAGCCAGGAAGATGAAAATGGAGGCCGCATGAGAGAGTGGGAAATGGGATCAGGCTCTCTGGGGACACACTGATGGCTTAGGCAATGCGGGCGAGGAAACAACAACAGGCTGAGAAGGTACTCACAAAGGTTGGGATGGAAGGGTAGTCCGACTTCTTAGCTTTGCAGCAGGAGGAGCAACAGCAAATGAACCAGAAAATTCTCCTGAGAGATTACCATGGTGAAAAGAAGTTAGTAAGGGACAGGGCCTAGGAAAGTGGGGCAGGGGCTGAGTGGTGTACAGGGGAAGAGCAGAGGCCATCACCTGACAAGGTAGAAGACAGCCTTCGGGGAGGGCAGGATGTTGAAGGGCACAGGCAGCGTCAAGCCCTCTCGGAAGTAGGATAGGTAGAGCTTGGAGCGAGCAAACTTCCACTCCACATCAGCATCATCCTGGGGACCACGAGGCAGGAGGCTATGCAAGGTCCATCTGGCACTGGCCCCCTTGCTCGCCCACTCTGCCTCTGTTTGTCTTGTCATCCCTTATTCTCCAGCGTGCCAACCGCTTTCTTCTTGTTCTTATTTCTGCCTCCATTGATCACCCACACTTTCCTAGAAAGCCTTTCCCTTTCCCATTCTCTTTCTCTAACTTCCTGTTGCCGCTCAGTCTATTCTCCAGCCTGCAAACCCAACCCGTCCACTTGCTTCTTGTGTCCCCACTTAGAGTTCTACAATGCCTCCACACTGCCACCACCACCACCAACAGCAACAACAAGAAAAAGTGCAAAGAGCACTAGATTTGTCAACTGGGGATAGCAACAGCAGTACTGAAACCCTTCTTGTGCAGACAGAACTTGTCCAAAGACATGAAACAGTAGTGGGGCAGAGCAGGCACCCAAGGGTCTTTGCACCACATTTCCCCCAGTCCTTGCCCTCCTCTCCGGCCTAGCCAGGCTCAGTTTACCTACCTCGATTTTCTGGAAGGAGTTGGTGATCATGGCAATGAGCATGTTGAGCAGCACAATGACCATGACGATGGTAAAGATGCCGTACAGGGCCCGGCCCACGAACTCAGGCACCAGGAACTGAGGCATGTCCACCACTTTGTGCTCTTCCATGCCAAACATGGTCCAGAACAGAAACTGGAATGTCTCGTTGAAACTGGCATGGTGGGGCCAAGCAAAGGAGAGGAAAATGGGGGCAGGGTTGGGAGAGAAGCCTGGGTTCTACCCAGACACACTCCCCTGCCCTGAAGACTTGGCAAAAGGTGTTCTGTGTCCATGAAGCCTTTTGGGTCATCCTTGTGAATACAGACATTTGCCATTTCTTAGCACTAGCCTTAATTTAAAATTTTATTTTGTAAATGTATATTTCGTATGTTTTATTTTGGATACACACACACACACATGTATATATGTGTGTGTGAGTACATGAACGTATACCATGTGTATGCAAGAGCCCTGCCGAGGTCAGAAACAGCGGATCCCTGGAACTGGAGTTACAGAGTCTGGTGCTGGGAATCAAACTGAGTCCTCTGCAAGAACAGAAAGGCCCTTAAGTGCTGAGCACTGGGATTGTAGGTATGCACCCTCCACCATGCACAGCTAGAAGCAAGTACTCCTTTAGAAGGATGCAAGAACATAAACATCAAACAATTGATAGATGCAGAAAGTCACAATCTAAAAATGACCATTGTATAAACTGATTTCAGGTAAAAGGCATCTGTGACTGAGAAGGGTGGTACATGCCTACAATTCCAGCACTTGGGGTGAAGACAGGAGAATCAAGGGTTCAAGAACATCTTCAGTTACACATCAGGTCCAAGGCTAGGATGGGCTACATCAGGACCTATCTCAAACCCCACTGACCTTCAAAATCTTCCGTGACCATTACATCCAGTGGGTACAGACTGTAAGCAGTCTAGCTGTAGTATGTCAGAACACCTCACTGTTAGTGAAAGGCTTCTCTATTGCCTTCACAAAGGAGAGGGTTACAATATGCTCCCCTAATACAATGCGATGGAAAGTGTTTGTTAGTCAGGTCCTGTTCTTAGCCAAACTTTTCAATCAATTAATTGAATGTGTTTGTGTGAGAGGCTGGGTAAATATATGTGTGCCATGTATGGTTAGGCCCCTAAGGACTAGAAGTGGGTGTTGGATCCCCTGGAATTCACTCTGTAGACCAGGCTGGCCTTGAACTCACAGAGATCCGCCTGCCTCTGCTTCCAGAGTGCTGAATTAAAGGCGTGCGACACCCACCCCCACTCCCACCTCCAGCTGCAGTTAGCACTGTCAGCCACTGAGCCATCTCTCTAGCCCCATTGTGTCTAAACTCTGTAACTTGGATTGAGTCACAAGGAAATAAATGTCAACTGTAGAATATAAATCAATTCATTGGTCATGAAAGACACACAAAAAAACAGTG